AGAAACTTCATCAGAAAGCATAGCGAGACCTCTAAGAGCGCAAAAGCCATCAGGAGGATCATGGCTCTAGTGTAGCGAGGCTGATCGTTTGGATCAAAGAAGTAGGGGCTCCAGAGACTGCCAAACTGTCCTGTCACATTAATGATAGCCATAGCGCACGCCTTCTTCTCGGGAGTTTGGGCAACTGTTGATGCCGCCCAGCTGTAGAAGGCTGCATTTGCACCAAAACAACCGCAGACGTAGAGAAATGATGCCACATAGCGAGCTGGTATGTTCAGAACTGCAACGCTTATGATGAAGCCAACGACAGCTGTCATCATCGGGATTGCAATATGCAAGCCCCGCTCGCCTTTGCGATCACTATGCCAGGCATTGCCTAGGTTGATAAGTGCGGCAAGTAGGTAAGGAGGAGCCGTGCAGACCAAGGTAATGGTCCGGCTTCCGAGGTTAAATCCCTGGACAATAGCAGGATAAAAATAGTTGAAGCCGTAGGAGGACTGGTTGGAACACAGCATAAGGGCCTATAAATTCAACGTTAATTAGTATCCTCTGAGTATCTTTGAGATCGTGGGTGTCAAGCGTAAGGGAGTAAAACTCACAAATATCCAGACTCGCTTATCCTTTACAGCATCTCTCAAGCCTTTCCAAATTGAAGTACCTTCCTCCTGCTGATCATAGGTTGCATCTCGTCTCATCCTTATAACAGCAACTTCCTGTTCTTCCTTTGTAAAAATCCACCTCTTACCTCCCGAGGAAGGGAAATCAGGCAGCAGAATGAATGCTACCAGCCCAAGCAAGAAAGTGATGGCACCTTCGATGATGAAGAGCCACCGCCAGCCGGGAATGCCAGCAGCGCCTCCTAGACCAGCAAAGATACCAGCAGCCAAAAGTCCAGATACAGCTGTAGCGAGAATCAGACCCGAATACAGACACGCATATCGAAAGGCGAGTTCTTTCTTTGTATACCAGCACGATAGCAAGTAGAAGACGCCAGGAAAAAATGGTGCCTCTGAGAGTCCAAGGAAAATCCGGATTACGACCATGTGAGTTAGGTTTTGAGCAGCAGCACACGAAGCTGAGATACAGGCCCAAACGCATACCCAGCATGGTATATATATAGAAGGCCGGACTCGAGTTAGGAGCATGTTGCTCGGGATCTGCATCAACATGTAACTGAAGAGGTCTTTGATTAGCTCCTTATGGTAAAATGCGGCCGGGCTGCTGGACTCACCCAAGATTTACAATCGAAAGCACAATGTTGAAGTCATTGCCGGTCAGTCCGAGGTCTTTCTCGAAATTATCCAGCTTTGCTTGACTGGATAGAGATTTTGTCAGTAAGTAGGCAATAACGACAAAACCAATTATCAGCATTTTCAGTGAACTTACGCAATGTTATTCCTATCGAGGTAATTGAACATGTACAAAATAAAAATCATGGGCATCAGAGTCATGTCGAGTTTCCGAACAAGGCTTTTTGATCGGGCAGCATATGTCTCATCGTCGACTAAGATGCCCCCAATGACGATTGACTGTTCGTCGTTGACTTGTTTCATGTCGGCATTCTTGCCGCGACTGTCTTTGGAGTCACGTTTGCCGTCTTGAGACATGTTTGATTTGGAAAATAGAGGTTTGAGAAATATAGCTTGTGGCCCTTCTTCGGTTTAGATTTTGTCTTGTATCGGAAGAAGCTGAATAGCAATGGATTGTAGACAGTAGGATCAGGGTCACAACGCTTCCTTTATCTACCTGAATATTCTGGGCAATTTTCTTTATCAAAGCTAACATGGTTGGAGTCGATCGTGGTGCGATAGTGCGGGGTACAAAGTTCGTCTGACTCGTTCCGTATCGCTTTGTGGTCTAGACGTAGGTTCGGAGGTCGAAGCCCGCCAAGGAGACTGGCATTGCGCTTGACATCGTTCCGCTCTTGATAACAGTGTGTGGGGAAGTAGCTCGTGGCCTTTTGCTAGGGAGTAGCACCCCACGGGGAATGGGTGCAGATAACTGGGACATGTTTCTGATTTTGGGCACCTTCGCCCGAGGTCAGATGATAGCATAATCAACCTTGACAACACATAGTCAATTTTTTGGCTCCATGAAGCGAAGTATTTTAGTAGAACGAATCATATAGACGACTGTAACGTCTTCTCTTTAGATGGTACACAAAGCTCCACGGTGGATAAGAGGAAAGAAAGGGGTGATAATGAAACCTCAAGATACGCGTTCTAGAGACGAAGATAAGCCAGCTTTGCAAACCGTTACATTGACCTACAAGATAGCAGTTTTACGTATTTGGAAGAGCTGCCTAGTTAGTTTCGGGAAGCTATGTCTGGTAGGATGAAAGTATGCCGGTTTCCGGTGTGGAGGGCAACGGGCATCAACCTCCGCAAGTGGATCTTATTCATCTGGCTAGAGTTTACGATCGTCAAGTGACACACGGCAGTGGGACTTTCATTCCATTATTCATCGTTCCAATTGGTAAATCCGGCAAATAAAACACCATTGAGAAAGTAATTGCTTTCACGATGTCCTCGGCTAGTCACGCCCTTCAATCGGGAACAGGATGACCCTTCAAAAATGCCGCAGGTGGCGCTTCGAGCGGTCGATCTTAGCAACACCACCCAACATTCAAGCAGAGTGAACGGAGGTGGAGGGTGATGCCCGTTGCTAGAGTCATCGATTGTAGTACCAAAAACAATACCCACAGAGTGTTACGGATTCTCAAGGGTGAAAGGGGTATATAAAGAGACCCTCCTAGCAGTTAAGGCTCATCAAATTCAAAGAGCAAGACAAGTCAACATCAATTCTCTTATTCTCAAGACCACCTACCTTTCTGTCTGTTTTCAATCACCATGGCGCCTAGTCTTGTCGAGTCTAACGGCGACTCAAATCGCACAGATGCAGTAGCTGCCATTTCCAAGTCTGCTTCTACCTCGCCAGACAAGTTCGCTTTATTCCGGCGCCTGGTTCCTGTCGCTTCTAGTGGCAAAGTCACCTTCCTCAACGCCTCATTTGCACCGCCGGCCAATCTCATTACTCACGCGGCCATCACACGCTATGCGAATGAGGCACTCCAAGACAATCACCCAAAACCTGCCTGGCAAATAGCCGGTGCTGAGACTCGTGCAGCTGTGGCCCGTTATATCAACGCCCCTTCGGCTGATGATGTTGCCTTTATGCGAGATACCACCGAGGGCCTGAGCTCATTTATCCGCAGTATCAAGTTCCAGCCTGGCGATAATGTAGTTATCCTTGATACTGAGCACCCAAACCATGGCTACGGCTGGATGGCGATGCGCTCATTTGGGCTTGAAGTCCGCCAGGTCCCAACCATTACAGCCGCAGAGAAGTCGGGCGTCACTGCTGCAACTGCTAGCACCTTTGCTCCTTATGTTGATGAGCATACCATCGCGATTGGACTGAGCTCCATCATGTTTCACAGCGGTCAGTGGAATGATGTTGCCGGTATTGCTGCAGCCTTCCGTCCCAAGGGAATCCACGTCCTTGTGGATATGACCCAGCAAGTTGGGTTTGCAGATGTTGATGTCCAACAACTTGGAGTATCTGCCACCGCCTTTGGTATGCACAAGGGTCTGAACTGCCCAACTGGTCTGGCGGCACTCTATGTTGATCCAAAAGTTATACCAGAGCTTACAAACCCCCCGCCTGTTGTCGGCTACGGAGCCGTTCAAAATGTCCGGGGAGACCTGCTGGTGCCTTCTGAAGAGCTCATCTTCCACCCTAGTGCTCGAAGGTTTGAGCATCTAAACATGAGTCTTATTGCTGCTGCTGCTGCACGAGCATGGCTAGAGTTCTATCTTGATGTCATGAAGCCCAAGGATGTCGAGGATCACCTATTCCGCCTTGGCGACGCACTCCGGGTACAATTAGGCCCCCTGGGCATTGATATTGTCGGACCAACCTCTCGTCAGCAACATGCCCCTCATTTGTATATTCTTGATCTGCATGATCCCAGGTGGGTTCAGCTCCTGAAGGATAACGATGTCATTGTCACACCTTATCGTCTGGGTATACGTGTATCATTTGGTTTCTATAACAATTTGGATGATGTGGAGAGGATATCTCAAGTTTTGGCAAAGGGTGTTAAGGCTGGTCTGCCGTTAGGAAGGCAGTGAGTGATCTTAATAGATACCTTAAAAGGGGCCAAGAATTTGAAAATGTTGAGCTTACAAGCTCCATGAATGTTTACATAACAATGATTAGTTCCCTGGCTTGTTAAGCCTCAGTTAAATTCATAAGCAGCCAGTGCCCAAGTGTGAGAACATTCCTCGAGTGCTTGGATCAAATACGCTGCCTCCAATTCATTTTGATGGAACGCTCTAGCCGTTCGGATGGCTTGCACAATTCCGTAGACGAATATCATGGATGCGTGGCGCAGGCCGTATTGCCCTCTATACCTTCGGGTGAGAAATGTGATATCCTCTACGGCCGCAACACAAATTTCTCGAGCGTCTTCCCAAGATAGATCGCCTACTTCTGCACCCCCTTCATTCTTGGCCAGTTCGAAGTGAAGAATTATGCGGCAGCTATAATAAAGCATGCTAGAAAAATCATTAGACACTTTGAAAAACTGGCTCCAAGGGTTCCATGAGAGATGCTTACTGCAGAGCAGCCACGCTTATCATCAACGTTGTATTGCTCGGCTCCCATTTGTTACACTTTACATTATTTGGCAATGACTCCTGCCATCGACACAACTCCAAATTTATGGCGTCGATGCAAGCCTTTTTCGAATGACAAGAAGAGTTGAATCGGGCAGAAAACACCGACGAAAGCATCTTTTCAATTATTTGGCAAAGTCGGCGCTGCTCTTGGAAGGAGGCGGAGCATTGGTTACTTTTATGTTCGTGATAGGGGCCATAGTTCTTCTCAGCATCCATGTCGGCTGTCAACCAGGATTCAATGTCAGGTAAGTCTCTTCAGACAATGTCAGCGGCAAGTTCAGCAGAGACATCTCCAAGAAGTAGACAGTAGGCAATTCCTTACGGTAATCCCACAAGGCGATCGTGGACTTCACCATCAGCGCGGTAGAGTTGTACTGGACGGCCAAGTATAAGACTGATGATCTTATCTGAACAGTAGCAACCCCAGTATATCCGCCGGCGAATCTCAATGTCTTCTGGCGCTGTTGCTAATGCGTGGTGTGAACCCCAATCGTCGGGGTCCTTCTGAAACCCAAGATCCTGCGCCATCCGGAACGCAATGCCTGTTCGACCTATCAGTGGGATACGAAAAGAGGCGCCAGACCGGGATCTTACCAGAGAACCCCCACGCCTTGGAAGGCTCGCCTCGTCCAATCTCATAGAAGGCCAGGCAGAGAAACGTTTGAACGGTGGTAATTGAAGGGCGCGCCAGACCCGAGACGATCGCGATGGTTTCTGCTGCGGAAAAGAATTGCCCACTCATCAACCGTTCCGACTCTTGATCGGATGTCAGAGCGCCCAGGGCACACATGGAGAGCACCAGCGCCGTGGACCAGTACTGGGAGCCGGCACGATCTCGGTTATGGTCGCGCAAGAAGGCTTCCCTATAGATAAACATAAAGTAAGGATATTGCCATTTAAAAAATTGCATCAGCATTTTGGTGATTAGGTCGTCATTCATGTCGATGCCAAAGTGTTGGGCCACATGGTTAAAGTCGGTTCCGGAGCCCACATAGATCGAACTGCTCGGGGAGGAAACGCTTTCATGGCTGGATTGATGGACACGCCGTTTCGAAGCCAGTGATTTTGCTTCATTCAGGGCATAGAATACACTGCTTGCACCATGATAGACCAAGTACCCTCCTGGTCTGACCTGAAACGACCCATGAAGGTAATGTTGCGGCCCGGGTCCAGCGGGAGCGGTCCGCCGGTTGTCCGCCACTTGGGAAACTTGGGCGCCAACAGTAAGTAGATCATCACTAAGAGACACTGCCTCAAGCATCGTGTCTCTTTCCTCGGTGCCGGCTGCCTTTAATCTCATAATGAGTGACTCAAGCCAGGCGACACGCTTCTCCAAGCCAACTACATACTCTTTGGCGGCCGGCCTCTTCCTAGATGTGAGGTCTCGGTATTCGCACACCTGGCAGCTTTTCTGGCAGTTGCTGCAAGGTTCTGTGCGGCTGCACCTCAACTTGCGGAGTTGGCATCGTTTACATGAGAACTTCCGAGGCTGCGAGGGTCCGCCGATGTCGAAGCCCATGTTTGACTGCCACTCGGAGGGTTTGTTCATGTCTGATCCTGCCGTCGTCTAGAGCCACAATCAGCAAATCAACTGTTGTTGTAAATACCAGGAAAACAGTAGAGTCTTGATGGATACCTGACAGTGATGTTCATTAACATTTCTTTCTTCTGACCCATCAGGTGCAGTAATTTAGACAAGTCACTCATGCCGTGCCTTTGATCTCTGGGGTAGTTATGTAAGAACAACCCTGGGCGGGTCCGTCCCTGGAGATGACCAGGGATGTGACGGACTTCGACCTCCGTATATGGGACGAAAGTGCCATATGACTCGTGTTTGTATAAACCTTATCTCTGAGGTGGATAAGACTAATTTCATGGAAGGAGGAATTGCTGGTATACTTCTCTATTGATCCTACTTACTCTTTTCCTAATGTAGAAAGAATAGTATAATAGTGACTGGTTTGCCATGTGACTGTGCCATTGAAGAAGGGGAGATCCGAATGATGTGCTGGGTGCATGTTGAGAACTAGCAAACCTAGAAATGCCCTAGGTAACGGTCAACCTACTTGGATCAACAAAAAATGTTCTTTGGCTCTGATATTGAGGTCTTTGCATACGGCCCATCACACCTAACGTACGACTACTGTCTCGGTTTACCTCCTACAATACACACCATGAGGTTTTATTTATGAACTGTAAATTCCGACATGAAATGTCTAACAAAACTGGAACCTCATTATATGTCCACATGCCAGGGTTAGTCTCTATGCTTCCCGGGATCGGATTCTCAGAGCCACATCTGCCTACCCTTGACCAGCTTGTTGGCCAGTGCCTTTATGTTGCGTGATATTCACCGGACTTTACAGGACTCAACGCCATTTACAAGTCTACTTCTTCATACAAGATACAAGTAGCTCTAATATCAAGTGTTCCGGCTAAAATAGATTTTAGCATTTCACAGACAGCAGATCAATTCAATTCTCGATTCTTGCCATGACCATCTTTGTAACCAAGATTCGTCGATCCCAGACTTGCTGCCTTCTCGGCAATTTCTCCAATGTGTGTTGCTTGGAATAATAGGCGCTAGAAGCTAACTATGTCTAGCGCTGTTACAAGCTAGCTAGGTATCTTACAAGGGCAATATTAAAAGCAAAGAGCGCTTCTCTACTCAATCTTTTGCAAAGCACATCCAAATGTGCATAGGACCAGCATCAAATATTTGGATATGAGAATCCTACTATGCAGAATTACTGGCGTGGTACATTGTCCTGAATTGATTAATAAGTTTATTAGTGGTCCATCAAAGGTCACATGAGCAAATGAAAGGCAAGTGTGAGTCCATGACATCAATCTGTTATCATTCGCCTTCTCATACGTCATATGGACAAAAACCCTGAAGCTGTCATAGATCCCCCCGTAATTCTTGATTGAACTTCTTATTCATTCACACACTAAGCTTCTAAAAATCTATCAAATTCAAACATCTATACCCAGCCGCAACCATGTCCAAGATCATCGATGATGTCAAATCCGGCCTTAAGGGGATCAAAGGAGCCGGCGATACAGTTCGCGGATCTCTAATGGAGGCGGCCGACCAGACCTTTGAGCCAAATCAACAACACCCATCCGTCATGGCCAGGAATGAAAAGCACAGAGCCACCGCCGAGAAGGGCAAAATGGACGTTGAGGGAGCCGATGCCATGGTCGGGCGTCACGAGTGGAATCGCAAAGACCGCGCGACCCAACGCCAAGCAGCTGCCACGATGCCCGAGGCGAACCAAGGAACCACAGGCTATGATGACACCGTCCCTCACGCCGAAGCTCCTGGTACTACAGTTCCAGCGACTGCGGGTCCTGGAATGGCAGCGCCCGGCATTGCGGCGCCCGCAGTCCCGCCTTCACACGTCGCCGAAGAAACATCTGCACCCGCAGTGCCTGAAGGCGGCATTGGTAGGACTGTGCCAAGCTCTCAAAACACCTATCAAGAATACCCGCAGGATCGCGTCCCTCGGTGAGAGCAGACTCTGGTGAGTAATGCCAGCTCCCTAAAACAACATATTAGCTAACATGAGAAAGGCGATAAGGGCTGAGCACAAGGCAGAAGGTGCTGAAGGAATGGACAATGAGGAACAAGCACAGGTGTCAATCCAACGTTGCGGTACTATTTGATTAATTACTTGCATTAATTTCAAGTTATTCGAGTTATGGAAAGTTCCGATCAGAAGGCGCAGAATGATGCCTAATTGGGGAACTTCTCCAGAGTGTCACCAGGGTCAAGGGTTAGCGGCTGAAAGGTGGGCACAGCATACTAAACTATTGTATCGAGATAATCTAGCAGGATGGGATGCTTCTGGCCGAGAAGTCTGAATTCAGCATTCAGAAGAATGATTCGGATGGCATCAATATCATGTATTTGCTCTTGCCTATGGTGCTCCATGGTTCATGGTAACGCGACCAATGTTCCTACCGTTTCCGATCACTTTTGGTGTATTAGCATTGAACGCTCTGATATGGATGAGCCCCGGGCCGTGATGGTGGACATGAAAGCCAACAGCCTGGGCACACTTCCCGATGCTGGATTTCGATTCTGCCGGACAGTTATCGATCCCCTTCAGAGCGTATTGACGTCTTGGTATCTGTCTAGTCTCTCCATAGGGCGGGGAAGCTTGTAACCAGTTGCCAGGGACCGTTTTGCACCCAGGATAATTACAGATCGAGAACAGTTTGGTATTATTTTTAGTTTTGCCCAATAGTTTATGGCCTAAGCTTGCAAACTTGATCCCGCTGGAGTGGGGTTTTATCTGAATCCTTGTCCAAACCGCGGAGTTGAGCCCTGCAAGTATTTTATGGTGAGAGGGGCGGTGTCAACGTCAGCATTGATGCCCACCCACATAAACACTTCCTGTTTCAAACTGCCCAGTTCACCACCGTCACAAAAACAGCTCAAGAGGCTATACTCACAACATCGAGAGCCATGGAAGCAGCCTTGACGGTGAGACCCTCCGGGTAATATAATTCTACCTTCCTGCCTGCTCCCTCACTAATCGAAATCTTTGTCACGTTAGGGATAATCTCTGGAAAGCTGCCGTCGATTCTGTCGGAGATGAACTCAAGGCTCAGATAGATTTCAAGCAGGAGTCCAAAATAGACACTCTTGGGGAGCTGTTATCGGTGACTGAGAAGGCAAAGAAACGTCTGACTGATCGAGCATGGTCTTTTAAGAGATCATCTGGTGAGAAGGTCATCGTGCGTGACGTATTGGGTAAAGTAGCCAAATGGGTCAACCTCGTCAAGCAGGTGGGCGATTTTGCCGTCCAGTTTGATCCGGGACATGCTGGTGTGGCATGGGCAGGTATTCGATTCATGTTGACGGTAAGCCTGGTGTGTTTGATACATACTTGCTTACGAGGTGCTAACCAAGGTCTAGGTCGCGGTCGGGGATCTGGACACATATAAGGGAATGTTCGAAACAACAGCAGACATCGCCGAGTACATCTGTCGAACTGCAGTTCTCGAGAGTCTAGTTAAGGGGAAATCCTCTCAGGCGGCAGATGAGCTGAGCCGTGCTATTGTCAAGCTTTACATAACCATCCTCACTTATCTCTCTAGAGCGACTGCCTACTGCAACCAAAATACCTTTAGTAAGTCCATGATTGGCATCTCCTATATTGGCGAGAAACACTAACGAACATTCAGAACGGATTATAAAGTACGGAGTTCTTGTCTCCGATGATCTGGAATCGAGTTTTGCGGCCGTCGCACCAGCCCAAGATGTCGTCAGTCGTTGTGCACTGGTGATGAATCTTGAGGGTAGGTTCACGGTTCCGATCCTGGCCATGAATAGTATGTAGCTTTACTCACAATTTGACAGCGCAGTTGGACTCTCAAGTTGAACTCCGGCGCATTCGAGAGAGCTTTGATGCGCCTATGCAGCGCTGGGATGGAGCGCTTCATGCCATTTCAGATCAGCTCGAAGGTAAGACTATTCCCTAAACTGATTTCATGAACTGGGTTAACACTATTTAGGAGAACAACGAAAGAAGATATTGCAAAGGATGTCAGCCGAGCCCTATATACAACATCACAAACAGACGAAAAGCGAGGTGTTGAAAGGGACGGGAAATTGGCTTCTTGAAAATCCCAGCTTCCTGAAGTGGAAGAACGAAAGCGCATCTTCTATCCTGTGGATTCGCGGCATACCGGGATCCGGAAAAAGTAAATTAATGTAAGAAAGTAAACCAAGTTTATTTTTCCGAAATCTAACTGAAACCTCTTCCAGGTCGATCGCAATTGAGGACGCCATGGGTGCTTTCCAGGCGAAGCAAAGTCCGCAGCCAGTATACTTCTACTGCTCTCGCAACCCGGCAGAGCCTGGAAGATCCGATCCTTCGCGTATCCTGGCCAGCATTGCCAGACAGCTCGCCACGCCGGAAGCCGGCGGGGCCATCCTTGAACCGGCGCTTGATGTTTATAACGAACGAGAGTCACAAGCGTTTGCCGATGGGCCTCTCAGACTTGAAGAGAGTAAAGAGCTCATCATCAAGCTTCTCGATCAATACAAGGACGCGACTATGTCCATTGCAATCGACGGCTTGGACGAATGTAACGAAGATACTCGCGGTGACCTGCTCGAGGCGTTCGAATTCTTACTGGAGGAATCACCGTGCCTTTTAAAACTTCTTGTGTCAAGCCGGGATGACCAAGATATTGTGTATCAGTTCGAAAATTACCCTTGCCTGGCTCTTTCGTCGGCCCACAGCTCTTCAGACATCGAGCTGTTTGTTGCGTCAGAGGTGAAGAAGCTTCTGAACAGTAGATTTCTACGGAAGACCCAGAGTGGCAAAGAAGCATTGTCTGAAAGGATTGTCAAGGAGCTTACGGCCAAGGCCGATGGAATGTAAGAGCTTTACTGGTACTTAGGTGGCAAAGATGTATGGTGATGCTAACGATTCACAGGTTCCGCTGGGTAAGCCTTCAACTGCAGGCACTTCAAAAATGCCGTAGCGAGGAAGCCATCATGGAGAGATTAGGCCAGCTACCTCGGACCTTGGGAGATCTCTACCAAGAACTCATCGTTAAAATGGAAAACTTTGAAGCGACTTCGGACAGAGAGCTGGCCAAGAACAGTCTCAGCTGGCTCCTCTGCAGCCATGCCCAGCTGGCCTCGGAAGCATTTCTCGCGGCCGTGTCCACAAGCGAGGGCGGGGAAAGTGAAGCGATTTCTCGAGATCAGCTTCTGGACTTGTGTTGCAACCTGGTAATCTTCGACGATGCCCTCGATGTGTTTCGATTCGCGCACTTATCGGTTCGTGAGTTTCTCGAAACGCACGATTTATTCAAATCCGAGTCTATCAACTCCCGTGTGGCGGAGGCTTGCCTCATTCGTATCATGGATGCGACACCCGACATGGACATGCAAGACGAGACAGAACCATCTATCGAAACATTATGGTACGCTTATGTTTACTGGGGTTATCATACACAAGCAGCTGCTGGAGAAAGAACGACTATTACAGACAACCTCCTGGCTGAATTCTTATCTGATGAAGACAATCCCTCGTCGTCGTTTGGTTTATGGGATCAAATCTTCCGCAATGGCACTTCGTACAGCAAGTGGACAAAGGATCCTCCCATAGAGCTCTCCAATTCCTTTTCTCCTATGCCATGTATTCTGCTCCCTGTTTGCATGTTCGATATCTGTGGTGTTATTGGCCTCCACGAGTGGAAGAGCTTGGCCGAAAAAGGGGTTACAAGCCTGCTTAGCAAAACTCCAATTGAGATTGCCGTTGAATGGGGCTCAATCAACATTGTCAAGTGGGTTTTCGACAATGATATCCCGGTTCCGTTCACTGACCAATTGCTTGCATGCCTGGCTTGGAGCAACGGGACGGAAATGCTGAAGATATTTCTGGCAAAATATGGCTCTGAGTTTCCCATCACGCAAGAATTTGTGGAAAAGGCTGCTTACAACGATTTTTGCGGCTATGAAATGATGAAACTGCTTCTTGACACTCGAGGGACTGAGATCGCGATGACGGCGGAGGTAGTTGAGGCTGTCGTTTCTTCTCGCGGTCCTGACGACAACGTGCTCAAGCTCCTGAAACTCGTCCTTGACAAAATCGAAAGCGACATTGTCCTGACGGAACACACCATCGGCATGGTGGCTAGAGACACCACAAAAGGCGAACAATTCCTCCAGATCCTGCTGAAGAAATTTGGGAACCAAGGCATCCCAGTATCACAACAGATCCTCTTCGACGCCGCTAGAAATGAAGAATGCGGAGATAAATTGATCGCGCTGTTTCTCCAGCACTTCGGCGAGCAGATAGAGATTACGGAAGAGCTTGTGAACAACGCCGCTGCCAATAGTGCAGTCGCCTTCTCTCTTCTCCTTCGCCAATCTGGTCCAAATCCTCAAATATCCAACCGCTGCCTGGAACTGGCGGCAGAGTACAACGCACAGTCCCTAGAATTGCTTCTAGACAAGCATGCTGCCGCGATAGTGATATCGCAGAGCACTGTGAAAGCGGCTGCCAGGAACCCGGCATCTATCAAGCTTCTTACCCAGACGCATGGCTCCGAGTTTCAGATCACAAGTGACATCGTCGAAATTGCAGCAATCAGCCATCCCGAGTCTCTTGACTTTCTTCTGAAAAACAGGTCGTCAGAGGCCAAACTCAACGAAAGTGTCATCATAACCGCTATTCGACACAATGTGAAAGTGCTTGAGTTCTTGCTCGACGAATATGGGCATGAAATTGAGATTACTGAGGAGATTATCAAAGCTGCTGCACAATACAGTCTGGATGCTATAGAGATTCTTTTCGACAAACGCGGAGACGACATCATGGTCACCGAGGACATTCTTCTTGCTGTAGCCATGGCTTACGGAACCCAGTTTTCATTGTACGATATTGAACCCATCATCTCGATGTTCATGGCGAAAAAAGAGGCAGACACTATCGCTTCTATCACTCCGAAGGTGTGTTCTATGTCTGCGGCTTGTGGAGACGAGAGTGGACTTGAATGTTTTCGTCGACACATCCCGAAAGAGATTATAAACCCGGAATGGGATTCGATTTGCCGCTTATATGTCGCAGCAAAAGATGGGAAGTCGGAAATTGTCGAATCGCTCATGCAAGAGCCAATTCCATTAGACACTAAGGATAATCTGGGTCAGACACCGCTGTTTATGGCAGCAAAGTATGGCCACTATGAGGTTGTGAAGCTTCTCGCCCACGACAAGCGAGTCAATGTCAATTCTCTATCTACCTTCAGGCGCTCTGCTCTATTCGAGCCATGCAAGTATGACTTGGATGAGGTGGTGGAAGTTCTGCTCGCAGCTGGTGCGGAAACCCATTTTATAGATGCGGATGGTGAGACCGCTCTTTCAGCGGCTAGAGAAGGAGAACACGATAAAATAGTTGCACTCTTGGAAGGCAAATCATCAATAGGGGAGTGACTTCATTTCGAGAATGAATAGACTTAAGTACATTTCTTACTGTGCAACCGCCTAAGAGACAACCCTTCCTGTTATTTATTGTTTGAAAATTGTTGAAGAGCCCGATAAGGATTATAGGTGCTATTATTATGTTTCGGACGAATTAGTAACAAGAAGCAACTGTTGGGTCATCCTTTTGTTCAAAAGATCGGCAGCCAAGCCTCGGTATACCGTACTTCCACGATAAGGTAGTATCTATGAATGTGAGGTCAGCAATCCAAGATCCAGTTAAACTCTCTTCATAGTTCCAGGGTCCTGGCACATGGTAGGATATGATACGTATGTATGGCGCCACGTTTCTGCCTTGTTGCTACCTACCCCTCAGCTGGCTTACACGTCTCTCAATCTCATAGCCCAGGGTGAGGAGTTGCCTTCATCAATATTCATTTATCACTCATACTCATACCACAAACCTATGTACGCTTTGAATTAATAAAAAAGACCGCACATTACATCATGGGAGTCGCGTACGAAGACAGACAGAGTATCGAAAACAAAAAGGCCCAATATTGCCGCTTTGCAGACACCCACGAATGGGACAATTTCGTCGCCCTCTTCACTCCTGATTGCGCCATGGAATTTCTTGACGCGAACGGGCAAGGGTTTTACGACATGGGCCCTCATAGCACCATACCCTCAGCACGAGACCTCGGGAACTACTTGGTGCAGCTCAGAAACGTGCAGCAAGCCATCCATATGGTGGGCCCGTTGGAGTTTGAGCAGGTTGACCAGGATACTATAAAGACTATCTGTACTGTCACATACCAAGTGGGAGATATCGGGACTCCGGATGGTGTTCATGGAATTGGAGGAGGCCATTACTACGAAACTTGGACACGCAAGCATGGTGAATGGCTCATTTCCCAATATTTGATGAAGAGATTGTACTACAAGTCAATGATTATCCCTAAAACACAGTGATATAGGCATAATCGAAACATCAGAGCCGATTATAGGGGATTAGTAGATATGTCGGATAGGAATATGAAGATCATTGTTGCTCTCTGGTTTGCATTCAATGGCAAGGAGGATGGTTTTGCCATGCAGCGACCAAGATTTGAAATTCGACTCCCTTGCCAATAACTCATTTGACCTCAAGAGACTGGCATATCAATGATATGCGTCAAGGGGGACCTATTCGCGCTTTATCAAATGCGAGACGCGCTGTTTGGTACCGACACGGCGGCACCTCAGTTCTCAGCGAACGCGTTGAGGGATACCTTATATACAACTTCCCCGGGAATCTCTTTCAACAACAATAGCCCCTGTGGCGCAGTGGTCAGCGCGCTCGATGCTGTATTCCCGTCATGTACTAGCTCTACAGACTTACTGACTACCCCCGAGTCTTTCCATATCTCACGAGGTATGAATTGAGCAAGGGTACAAGGTGCTTAGAGAATGGGTACTTAACGGGAACCATGGAGAGGTCCTCGGTTCGACTCCGAGCAGAAGCATTACTTTTTTCCCCTTTTCACTTTTTGATCTCCAAGCCCTCTACTTTCAACGAGCAATTTTTGTCTAGGTAATGCTGTGAAGTCTCGTGCGGCAACGCATTCCTTTGTCTACCGTTTTTATACTACGTATTTGCAACACAGCTTACAAGAGCTAAGGCGATGATCTCGGTGCGCCGTCTTCCATGTTAGCAACTTGTCAGTGACTAGTTGTCACTGATGTTGAACCGAGGCATCGTGGAATTCATTGCGATTAGTCAGAAAGAGGACCATTTGCCTCTTTTCCCAGATTGGAAGGGCTTTAGGCCCAAAGGAGCAGCCTACAGCAATTTGCATAATAAACCCCCCCGGAAGGCTCGGAGATGGATAACTTAGATGAATACAATTACAAAATTTTGCCTGCGCACGGCGAATGATCCAACAATTAAGAGTCCCAGAGTCGCTCTTATTGAAGACGGCGATATCTAGGAATAAGGGTTTCAAACCGATAATGCGAAGCGCATTCGACTCAATTGAACAGCGATTGAATAAGTCGAATTGCCCAAGATGCCAACGAACTCAATCACCTTGAAAAGCCTAGACGACTGGGATGCCTTTGAACAAACACTCATAGTCAAGGCAGCCACTGAAAAGGTCTTGCACCTTACACAACACGAGGGGTCTGATAAATTCAATCCTTAGCCTCCAACGATGCCGGAATACTCGCACTATAAAGCGAAGGCTTCAATCGCGGACTAGACCGGCAGAACGAGCTTTATTCAGGGAGAACAACCTACTCAATCATAGACTAATGTTCTTAATAAAGACAAGGAGACCTTAAAGATCAAACGAGCGAATTACCGTACTTTGCTAACTGAGTACAATAGAGAGGCAGATGCAATACGCAACGTATTAACCTGGATGATTGATCACATCAACCCTCAATATATATCCAAGCCTGTGCCCAGGCTCTGACCAAACCTGACGAGCGAGATAACCTCTGCCTCTTCGCTAATAACCTACGAGAAACCTGCGGCATAACTGACGCCGTAGGACGTACACGAGCGCGGGAAACGTATTTCGAGGCTCTAAGAATAGCCAGACTCAGAAAGGTTGCTCAGACGTTGAGTTTCCCTGAGTGGTTCGAAGATCTCGAGCGGCACCTGGATTCAAGGTTCGAAATGCTGTTACGAATCCTGAAGCGTCAGAAACGCACAGCGATAAATGATGGCACATATGAACCAGCTGCGTTCAGTGCAGCCTTCAGAGAGATTCTGATAATCCAGTCAAAGAAGGAACCCGAGGCTCAAACAGATGAATAGAGCTTGGAACAGACAAAACGAACCGTGATTAAACCTTTCCAACCCATATATCTAGACACTGACCGGAATCTCGGTCAAGGATGAAAAATTCCTAGCCGAGACCACGCGTCCACAGGGCGCGACAAGTCAGGAAGTATTATCGAGGCCCGAAGAACGCAAACCGCTCTCGAACCCTAAGACCTATGCCATGAACCAGTTAAAGGCCGGCTTGGCATCTAAAGCCTTAGGATGAGCGAAGTGAAAGGCAGCGATATTTACACTTGTCCCAGGTGTATGCAAACTTGGTGGGCTTCACAGTTCAAACGTCTGCTTCTAAAGCGCAAACCAAGGAGGGAAATTCAAACGCGAAGCCCGAAAGGCTGAAACGGCGCTCGAAGGATAGATCAAATTGTTCAATCCGTTTAAATCTGGGGGGTTGTGTTAGAACGTGGGCTCTGCAATTCGCAGGTCAAAAGCCACAAACGCGCCTCTTTCGTCAAGGATGAAAATAAGGTCATATGACTGCAGCTGTAACTAGAAATAACCCCCCGGGACCCCCGGAGAGGTCAATTAGGCAGTTAATTCAATCAACCTTCCTTCCTTGACCCCTGTATGCAGGCTGCGTGGTTCAACAACTGTTGCTCGAGGGCTGTGATCTGGCCTGCCGCAAAGCTGAGGCTTGCGAGAGCTGGAAAGGAAGGATGACACGTGTTGTTGTTTATCTAAATCAAATCAAATTAAGGAAGGCTCAACAAAGGCAAGGAGGATCGAGTGTTTTGCCAGAGGCTACTCTATAACAGGTTACAGGGCCACTGGGGAACCGCGTAGAGAGAGGGAACGTTATCTGACTACCTACCTGCGGTCTCATATTTGTCCCCGCCTGAAGTACGTTTACTACGGATACGTCTGCCCAGTTTTTGTACATGGGCGGGGACCGTAATGGGTTTGATGTGACCCTTCTTGTGGGCGCGACGCAGTCGGAGCACGCAGCATGTTCCACCTACATACTTTGGATACGCAGCCTAATCCAGGCTTACACACCGGGATGGAAGACATACGAGTTAGTTCTCACGGTTTTAGCTTGATTGAGTACTCTCTGAGGGCATTTGTACTGTAAAGAATCCATCAAATATCACTCTTGAACGCAAGCAAGGAATGTAGAGAAGAACTTGTCCAATGAGTCCAACTTTGAATTTAGATAAAATATCAAGTCTTAGAATCCGATAATGCCAAATCGACGTGTAGTTTCTGTATCCCCATCAGATCAGGACACTCTCCCTTCAGATCTTCCTTCTCTTCGTTTGGAAATTCCCCAGCAGCGGCCGTTCTGGCTAATACTGCAGGAGGGTCCAATAGCTTCACCACCTGCACCGCATTAGAGTGGTCATTTCCAAACACCCTCGCGGTGTCATCACCAGCTTGCTGCACCATGATACCTGTCTCGTCACCCGGTCGCTTTTCACCTCGCAGACATTCAACCTCTTCCCGTGCTCTGAGAGTCACACGGTCGTCATCGCCTAATGTTTGCTGACAAGCTTCGTATAGCTTCCTCGCCCATTTCATTGCCTCCTCATGTTTCCCAGCTTTCTTCAAAACATGCACAAGATTTTCCATCAGTTCGACTGTATCTCCATCCTCCCCCCCTCGGCGGCGCCTACCCATACGGTAGCTTGTGCTCAGCAACGTCTCCGCCTCGTCAAACTTGCCTTGGCCGGCGAGCGCGGTGGCAAGTGTAGACGCCGACTCGGTAGTTTCCCGAGCCCCCTTGCCATATACCCGCAGAGTGCGTTCCAATGAGCCTCTTGCTAGAGCTTCTGCATCATCTAGAGCCTTCTGGCCTAGTTTCACAATGGCGAGCGTGTTCTGGGCACGAATGGAGGTGAGGTGGTCCTCACCGGCAATCTTCCGCGTCGCCGCCAAGAGCCCCTCAGCTATGGGCTCTGCCTCGTCGTATTTCCGATGCTCTTGAAGCATGCCTAACTGACACCCGATGACCCATAAAGTGGCTAGATTGTGGTCGCCAGAGACAGATTGACGACGCTCAACGACCGCCGCAATGAGCGCGTCAGCTTCATCAAACTTGCCTTGCTTGTTCAAGAGGATAGCGAGTTGCTGCCCAAGAAGAATTGCCTCTTCATGCTCTTGGCCAAATATCCGAACCACCTTTTCATAAAGATCACCGACAAATGCGACGTCCTCGCCGGCTATGGCCCGACCACTCATGGTTTCAACCAGCCTCCTGCCCTCGATGAGAGTACCGACATGCTCATCACCGAGCACACGCTTCTTACTGTCATACGTTTCCCGGATCAAAGGCTCTGCTTGCGATAAGGCGCCTTGCTCGAGATACAGACCGCCCAGCCAGGCCACCGCCCAGACGGTAAGATTGTGATCGCTCCCGTTCATTGTTTTCCTATACCGCAGAACTTCGGACATGATCTTTTCCGCCAATTCATATTTCTGCAACTGTTTCAAGATGACGGCATGTGTCGTCATCAGCGCGAGAGCAAAATGGTTTGGCTGGTCAGGCGTCGGATAGACGGCAAAGAAATCCCAGCAGACGGCCTCTGCGGCTTCCCACTTTCCTTGGTCCTTGAGCACGTTGGCGAACAAGTCCACCGCCTCGATCGTTCCCGTGTGAGTATGGCCAAAGACTCGCTGGCGACTTTGCAAAGCCATTCTGCGTTGCCGGCTCGATCCATCTAGGTCGCCCATGCGCCGGTGCAAGGCTGCCAGTTTCTCTCGTTGGTCGATGGTGTCGGAATGGTCGTCTCCGTGAGCACGAAGACTGCTTTCGAGCATGGCCCGCGCCAACATTTCCGCTTCTTTGAAGCGGCCCTGATCTACAAAATTGTCGATGAGCGAAGTTATCATGACGTTCACTCTCGGCAGCGCATCGTGAAGAGCCTTTGCGCTCTTCTTCACAACATCCCGGATCTCGGAATCTGTGTTTGCGAGGAACGCCTCGGCCCATATCGTGTCTGGATGGTATTCGCCCAGCGATTCCCGGTATCTTCGGAGCGCCCCCTCCATCAACTCCTCCGCCTCATCATTTTTGCCCATGAAAAGCCGCGTAGAGGCCAGTCCGGCTCGTCTCCAGTTTGTCTCGGCATTATCAACGCCAAGCAGCCTCTCGCTCGCGTCCAGCGCTTCTTCCATCATCAACTCTGCTTCTTCCACTGCCGGCTCAGAGTCCTCCATCTTCGCACGAAGCAAGAGTGTCCTTGCAAGCTCATCAATACTCTCAAGAGTCCGTTCGTCATTAGAGCCGTAAGATCTTTCGGACTTTTCGAATGCGTCCCTCATGAACTGCTCCGCCTCTTCCAACCGGCTCTGACGCCGTAGCATGAGACCCAGGGCTGCCGTTGCCTTGATGACAATTGGATGATCATCGCCGAGAGCGTCGGCCCCATCCTTTATAAGCGTCTTCGCAGTCGTCTCAAATTCGGCAGTCTGCCTCTGCTCTGCCAGCAGAACAGTCAGATGATGCATTGCGGAGAAGGTCTCAGGATTGCGGGGACCGAATGTGTCCTGGGCCTTGCGCAAAACAGTCCGTGACAGAGACAAGGCCTCTTCGAAGTCGCCATGAGCCTGGAGACACTGTGCAAGGTTGATTTTTGCTTTGTGTGTCTCCACATGCTTTCTTCCATGCGTCTGCTCAGCATTTCGAACGCTTTCTCGTGCGGTTGTTACTGCGTCATCAGTCGTTGCAGTCGTCGATTGGCGGTCCAGCGCCGGTCCTTGGTCCTTTGAGGCGTCCATCGCTATGATTATGTATACTTTGTCGCCGTATGAGCGGGAGTGCCGGCACGTCCTAGATTATCGATTAGTTGCGGTCCAAGAGAATAAAGTCAAATAAATCAGGGTTGAGATGAAGAAGAATGCTGGTGCGGTGCAGATCAGGCAGCATGATGGATAAATATGCCTTGCTGGATGCCTTAAGCATTGATTGACCCAGCCCATCATCTTTTCTTACTTGTTTCAGGATGGCGCAAAGTCAAGGCAACCACCCACTCTGAAACGTCAGTCTCTCGGAGAACGGGGAGACAGCCAATTGGCCATTCAATCGAGCGATGCACATGATTTCCATTCCCACCCCATGCTACCGACTGGGAGTGCATTCTAGTGTTCTAGCGTTTTTAGTGTACTCATTCGGCGAGGATGGAGGGAAATGACTGACCTCGAGTGTCTTGGCTGGTTCGCTGAAAATGCCACGTTAACCCGCCTCATACCACATCAGAGTTCTGGGGCTTTGAAGTCTTATCAATTATCAAATATTTAACCTACAAAAGTCCATACCAAGTTCAAGTATCCGAACTTCATAGGCGGTGATTCCATACATAAACTCACTTGGGCTTCATTATCTCCTTCATTCTCCTCGTCCCAACTCTGCGCTCGCGCCTCTTGTCCTAATGGAGCCTTGCAAGCAGGGCGCACATGGTATCCATCCCCTTCAAAACTCACCACGGAAATCATCTTCTGTCAGCAAAGCTCCCTCCAAAATCTTCCCAAGATGTGTCTTCTCAATACCCTCGCAGTTGAACCGGATCCTGCTGATAATGGCTTTGAGAAACTTGACTGGGCTTGCGGTGAAGTCACACGTCTCGTCATCCATCGCCCGTCGAATGAACCCATCCGGCATAACCTCTTGACCCTCTTCGGCTGCCTTCTAAGCGAGACCTAAGTAGTCGCAAACCGCGGTATATTCTTGGAAAGATCGAAAGTACAGCTATCCTGCAAAGAGGTTAAGCTTAATAATCAATTTCTTCGGAATCTCATATCGAGCTACACTGCCAGGAAGGATGTACAGATCAAGACTATCAATCGGGGCAATCCCTAGGTTCTACCTCGCTCCATACAAGTGACGCACCACCATCTACGACTCTGCAATATCATTTCGCAACCGGTTTACTTCGAAGGGGCTGATCACCACCATAACCATCTCCCCTAAAACAGAACTTATAAGGATCCAATAAACGCTTCGAAGAAAGTCATCTATATATGAGTATTCGGGGGAATCATCTGACTTAATTGTTATAGCAAAATCCTTTATGATCAGGAGGCCGCTTAGCCACTGGGTAATCCGCAACTCAGTCGCGGCACTTGTGCTTTCGAACAACTTAAACGCTGGTTGGAATGCGGCGCTAGAGCGTTTGATCACTCCAGTGAGCACGAAGGCTAACACATCGTGGTGGACCCTATGGCGTAGGGGCTCTACTGCCTCCGCGCGCTCTTTTTATCGTTCCTATTCAACTTCTGGTGCTAATTCTCTCTCTTGTTCCTCTTATAATAAGCTCGAATCCAAATCAATACTGCCGAACTCAGAATATCTTTAAAAAATCTTATATACTATTAAGTTTTAAGACTAAGCTAAGCTGTCGATGAAACTAGACCCCTGAGGCTGTAACCTATACCACTATTCGAGCGTTTGCGCCTCTTCCTCAAGGAAATTTTCTACTAATTCCTTATTTATCTGTTTTTAACCATTAGGTTAACACATTAACTCCCAATAATCGTGTTAATGTGCAAAAGTGTTCCCTTACGTTGCCCAGATGGGAAACAACCGGCGAATATCGATCCAAGTCTCCGAGATAGACCAAGCGAGAACATCCAAGACAGTAATTAGCTCGTCTACACCACTATCGCCATTGGAGGTTCTTAATGCTCGGACTTTTGTCTCGATTTCTTCAGGCACATAAAATACGATAGATTGACCATGGCCAAGCTTCCTCATCCTCATACATACTTAAGAGTATCAGTAAATATCCAAGAAGGGAGTTCCCTCTTAAGGAAAACAAGTGCAGGATTATAAGAACACTCACCTTATACTATTCGGTCTTTAACCAAATTCACACCTAAGGTCACAGCAGCGCGATAACTTTACAGCAGGCGGAGATCAATACCTCAGGTATATACCTCATCAAGAAACACTAAGCACGTATTAAGATACTTTACAAAGGGTGATATTTAGAGCCATTCGATATAGCCTTATCTATCTAAGATAGCCAACTCATCTTCATCATCGCAAAAGACCACCGCCTATATATCTTATTAAGCTTAGACCAGATTAAGCCAAGCTTTAGCTACATCTTTATTAGACAGGTCAATAATCTACACTCTAACATTAAGTATCACACGAATCTCCAGGCTCATCTTCACTATCAATTCTAGTAGTTATATAGCACTCCAGACTGCACTATAGCTATCTTATACAGACAGGAGGGTAACTGAATTTTCAGGCCACATTAAGTTATCCAGTACAAGCGCATTCATATACTTTTATGCAGGAAGGTCAAGTTACTTCACGGTTAGGGGTAACACATACTGAGAGTTATTTATGCCACTAAATCCAGTAGCAGGTAGCTTCTTAATATAGCCCAAGTCCCATCCCGAGGCCGAGAGTTTATAAGGGAACTCTTTCATCTCTTTAGTAAACATAATTTTAGATAGAAAGTAGTTAATCACACCTTTTAAGTACCGAAGATACAGGAATAGATAATTAATATAAAGCTACCGGTCAGTAATATTAACGCCCTCTAGCTATCTAAATACCTCTAGGAGCTTTTCGATTAATTATACCCAAATCTAGTACTCTCCATCTACTTAATCAGACTTAAAAAGATAACTAAGGGAAAGAAATAGTTCCTCATCCATAAGACCACTATAGTAGTAAGATATTAAGGTCAGTGAAATAATAACATCAGGCTAGCTGAACTCAGAACATTAACTTAGGTTATCTTTAGCACGGTAAGGAACAGCTAGTCAAGTATTAGGCTCCCACGTCATATCAAGGCTATAGTTAACTCTCCATCTTTTTTTCAAGAACACGAAATCAAGGATAGACCCAGCAAATAACCCTCAGATAAGCAAGAGGCTCTAGGAGGAGCTAGCCCAAAAGTCACTACCTTCAACGCTAGAAGCTACTTCGCGACTTGGCCTTAGGTTAGTAATATAATCTCAAATATTAACTCGAGATTACTTACTTAGTCTAGATACTAAAAATCCCAGGAGAAACCCATATTAGTATATATAATCAACCACTAGGCCGAGAACTTAATCCAATGCCTTCTTATCCAAGAAGCAAACCCTCAGGCCCCTACTCTAGGTTGTGATATAGACCTTGACGGACTTAGGAAATTGCCATAATATCTTAACAGCATACTTAACCACTAAACCAAGAATTTACTAGATTATCGCCCACCTCTCCAGTGCATAGTCAATTAGGGTTTACATTCCAATCATATAAACTAACTCGAATTTAACTAAAAAGTTTTCATCGCTTTCATCAATTATATCCCTCAAGTATTCATTAAAGAAATTTGCCTTCATCTAAAGCAAAGTATATAATAACCCCACTTCTTCCTTAATAGCTACTTCTAAAACCATTAATTAGAAGGATAATATATTCTCCAGCTAGAGAAGCAGAACACCCCCCTATTGTCGATACTCCTGGTAATAGCGTTATAAAAAGTTTACCTACTTAACATTAAGCCTTAGGCTTCTCGAGAATAGCATATAATAGACACGCCTACCTATTAGGCCCCCCAGCTTAGAGACTAATATCTCAAACATCTAGCGGGACTAGGGTTTGCTGATAATGATCCTCACCAGGTTAGTGCCATTGGCAAGAGCAGCAGCAACTATTAGAACAATAACCGACGACTTACCTTCTCCTATATTTAGCTATATAATAGCGTTATTCTTATCTGGGGGGCTTTCTATTATTTCTGCAATCTCTTATTAGACCTTATAAATCCTCAGATTACCTTCTACTTCTAATAGAAGTAAATCTGGATATTCAAGAGGATTCTATATTCTTTGTCCTAGATTCACCAACTCCTTAATAAGATCTATCTCATTTCCGCGCAGCTAAAGTAACCTCTCAGCACCTTGAAGTTATAAGAGACAAGACCTAAATTTCACAATAATCTCTTTCCAATTCTCCGGCAGATTTTCCTATTTCTGTCAGTTCAGTTAATCAAGAAGATTCCTAGGTGATACACAAGGCCATATCACCGAGCCTTCTGCCATGTGCATGGAAGACATATTGCCCCTATGTGAGGCTGACTATAACAGTGAATTTTTTATCTGCTCCAATATATTGTTATACTGCGTCAGGCAGCTTTTATAATATTCAGAAAGAACTTAATGTAATTCTTCGCCATTGACTGTAAGACAAAACTGCTGTTTATTCTGGCCAAATTGATTAATACTTTCAGCTAAATACTCAACGTAACAGCCTTCCTGGGGTAATTTGGCTAAACTGGCAATCCGGCTCCCTAAGGCCGATACCAGACACGCTTCATTGGCTGATTCGGTCTTGATAACTACATTAGGTAGCTGGACCGAAAAATCTCTGCTGGAAATTCCTAATGCGTTTGTAGAAGCAAAAAGGTGATTGATCCGAATATGTCGGTGAACGTCTCGCGCCGCTGGTAGGGGTAACGTTTGGTCAATGGTCCCGAAAATGGTCGGGCTTAGAGTGATGCAGCGCATATTGAAACACACCTGCTCCAGTGACTGAAGGAACAAGAGGTTGTTGTGCCAACTTTTACACCTCGCTCGGATCTGATGCATGGCTTTGGGGACCTTGAGATAGGTCTTACCTACGGCAGCATTCGCCGGATCTGAAATCGCACGAGGCCACAATCGGTGGACATGTTTTTCCAAGCTGCTTGCAAACTCCTTCTGCTGGCTCTTGAAAAGAGACTCTACTCTCCGTAGCGCGGCCCTTCGGGATTCCCCACGAAGTGGTTCCACTTGGGTCCGCATAGTGCTCTTGTCAAATTCGATATAATGCGATTCGATGGAGCTTCTCAACCACGCTAAATCAGCTTGATATCCTTCCTCTAAATTCAAACAACAATTTTGTGGAAAGGCCATCAGACGATACTGGGGGTAGAACATAAGCCCGAGTAATACGCTGAGCGTAGATTCGTCAATATCCTTCGCAAAGGCGACCGAGACCACCCATGAAAACAGTAGAAAGTGGTCATCGGGGTTCCTTGTCTCGAAAGCCTTTTGTATCCCTCCCCACGCCTCTCTGAGATAAGGTCATACGGTCCCAACCCACTTAGCATTAAACGATAAATTATGAAGCCCCGCTTGGTTGGGGTTAAAGATTGGAAGACCACCGAGCTTGGTATATATTTTCTGAGCCGCATCCAGGGAGATTTGAAATGGAAGTTGAACAGGACTCTCACGGAAAACAGCGGCTACTTTCGATACTCGAATTGCACGCTGGGAGTTTTGATCTCTATCCCTAGTCCTGTTGTAGGGGACATCTTCGGCTATCGTATGCCACTCAGCTCCAAAGCCGGCTTTGTAGAAGGAAGCTGACCTGATAGCTTCGCGGTCCTCAAGGCCTTGATGCTGCCTATCTATTGTTGGAGGCTTGATGAAGTCCTTGTAGAGGAAGGATGCTTTTGAAGCTTGCTTGAATAAGGCGCGGACTATTCTGCTGAAGTCTAAATGCTGTAGTAATGGGCTTAGCCCTTGATTATCCTAATTGACCACCTGCATGACTTTGAGATGCTTCGGGTAGAAGGTACGGGCAGGAGACAATGTGGCAATTCGCTTCAGAATTTCTATTTCTGCTTCGGAAAGAGAACTGAATGAGTGGACGCCAGCTGATCGCAAGATTGTTAATGCCTCCTCAGTACCGGTATGAAGAGTGAACGGGTCCTCAATGAGTCCAGACGTCAGGGCATGGAGTTCCGCAAGAAATAGCTTGCTCTTTAGGCTTCCGTTTCCTGTCAAGCAGTGGAGATGATGATTTAGTTGGTATGATTGAACCCTTGTAGTAGAGTAGTGCAAATTGACAGTGACATGATTGTTATGGGGTGATCTTGAATAATTGGGTTGCCAATCTGGAATGAGCACCGACCGGTTTTGGCTGTCCCCGACCTTGACCAAGACCAACTTGTCGGCAAGCCCAATGAGCGTCCTGATGGCTTGTTGAGGGTTAACGTGCATCCCTCTGTATTGGCGAGATATTATATCTTCTGACCCCTTATTTATGTAAAAGTCGAGCTGAAGTCTGGGAATCTTAATTAAAAGAGAAGCTGCTGCCTTGTCGAAAAAGATGTGTAAAGCAGACATCTTCTTAAGAGGCCGAAACACCTCATGCAGCTGATTTGCAGTTCTCGAAAACGGTCTAACAAGGTAAGTATCAGACTGCTGAAGAACCCACGAGTATTCCTGCATGTGCAGCAACCATGATGATTCGCCTGACTTCTAGGGTTGGCTGTGCGGTCGAAATTCAACAACTCCCTTTGCGGTATTGTACCAGTGGATATGTTTATTAATAAAGTGTTCAGGAAAATATTGCTCAAATAAACGAGATAGGACAAGTTCCCATGAATTTCCTTCTTTGCGAGCGCATACACTAAGATCATCCTGCTGAGAGTCATAGTATAGATGAATCTGATGTCCTTGGATGCTGCATCGAGTTGAAAATGTCATACCCGCTTCGGCACTTGGCATCACGTCCACTGACGAGCGTCCGAATAAAGTAGTGTAATCCTTGTGGACTTTGTATATCGGAGGCAGTCTGCCTAATGGAAGACCTTTGATGAGTAATTCGGCCGTGATCATATTGTAGTGAACTTGAACCTTCACTGTGCTATCTTGGTTCGAGGTAGTGGTCTTGAGCCAATATGACGCCTGCTCTGTCCAATGATCCTCAGGTGAGCGTTTATAAGACGGCCATATCTTCGATATAGCAGAGTCAAGGCCCTTATTTTCTTGAGATGTAATTTGGCTCATCAGGATCCTCTTGCTGCGAAATAAAAGACGGCGGTATCTCAAAATGAGGCAATTTAGGAAAGATGTTTTAGATCGGTTGGATTTATTTTTATGTTTACCGTAGCATTCTTGAATTGCAATACAGCACTGAATGAATCTTGAGAGGTTTTCAGAATCTCTCAGCGTCATTTCCAAATAGGCGGCGTCAATATCGTAGGATTGCGTACAGGCTAGGGCTGCTTGTAGAATACGTCTAGTCAAACTCTGGAGTGAAAGTGTATCTCGAGTCGAACGGACTTTGTCGCGTAAGGTTTGTAGCCATTTGAAATAAGTCTTTCGGCAGTAAGATAGAAACATGAGACAAAGTTGGATGGAAGTGCCTCTCGTGAGTGAAAGCAGCCGAGCTGTTATCATGGTCAAGGTCGCGACTGCTGGAATAGATTCCCAGTTTTCCCTTAGTCTGCTAAGCGTCTGATCTATCTTGCTCACTAATTGCTGAACCAAAGCTTCGTCTTTAAGTCCTATATGCGATGACCTCAAATCAGAATCAAAGGAAAAAGGGCCAGTTTGGTGGGATATTTGCAGAACGAATAGTGTAGTCTTAACCTTACGCTAATTAACTGAAGGTATGGCAAACTCTCTGAGAAGATTCTCCTAGATAATCTTATGGCCTAAAGGTAGCGAGCAGAGAGCCTTGAACTCATCTAATGAGAGGTGATCAGGGCAGAGCGATTGACTTGCAATGACATTGTTTGGGCCTAGTCCATCTGGGCGATCCCATGGCCGATATAAGAAATTCTGCAGAGTGCGGGGGACCAAGAATGTGCAAGCCTCAGCAATGCGGGTGTCTGGGCTGATATTGCCGATGAAGGTCTTCGTCTCTGTGTCGAAATAGGACCAATTCATCCCATTACTAAGACATATCTGATCCTCACGAGAGTCGCAGATTTTCTTCCCGGAACGATGAGTGACAGTATTGGGCTTGGTTGTCGATGCTGGCATTACTTTTTGATAGAGATGCCCCGGGTCCGCCGACCTGAATTCGGTAAGTGCCGGGTATTCGTTCAAGGGATGAATATAAACTGGATTGGAAGCACCCGGATTGCTGAGCGGTCCGAGGACACGTTTGCGGAGGAAATATGTACCGTCGCGCCAATGCCGAAAACTGGAAGGTACATCGAGCTCAAATATAACTGATTTGGCGTTTACAACATCACTAGGTAGAGGCCATTCGTGGATTTGTATCTTCATATCAGCAGCTTGCTTGGCCAACAAACACTTCTTGCAGGAAGTACAATGTTGCCGGTGTTGGTCACCATAGGAGTCAGTGACCAAGATCTCTTTGTGGCTCAAAACTCCAGCTTCCGCAATGAGGCTATCGTACTTTTTTTCCAGCTTCCTAAATTCGAGACGTTTTTCATGCTGCTCCTCTCGAGCTCTGGACTCGACACGGTCCAGTAATTTCTGGTGATGGGAGGAGGAGTCATAGAATCGAGCAGCAAACGTTTCCTTCGTTCCAAACACGGTGAAAATGGAAGTCCGTTTGTATGTAGCTTTTTGGCGTCGTTCATGGACGTATCTCTCGATCGCAGACAGCCGTTTCATTTGGCTTCGGAAACGAAGCAAAAGCGAAGAGCAGATTTCTGCTGGCACCTCAGGATCATAATCTAGCAAGAGTGGATAGATGGCGACCGCTGAGCTGTCACAAGCAACCCAAAGCTCCAGCAGGATTAGGAGCATGATGGATTGGCCCTCCGGTTGAGACTTGTAATGAATGTCGGCAATGCAAAAGTACTCCCTCATGGCGGAGTATAGTTGAGCACAGCTGCTTTGATCGTCGAGGTGGCTATTGATCCAATTAGGTAGGCACTAAGCTACCCAATTTTCGAATGCCACAAGGTTGTAAATCATATACGCTCCGTGTTGGGCCTGAAGCAGCGATGGAATATTATTTGATGACACACGAATTATGTTAGATGAGGGAATAAATGTGTCGGTTTCCATATTAGTTGCACGCTGCTGAATTTGGGAAAGAAAATTGTCAAGCTTCGGAAGCGAAAGTCTGCATTCCTGGTCGAGAGACGAAGGGAAAATATTAGCAGTCTCGAGACGTCTGAGGTCTTGTCGCACAACATCTTGCCACCGCTCGTTTAATTTTGCGGTAGCATCTCTTACGATGGCACACACCGGCGCCATCCATGGTTCAGCTTGTTTAATGTCAAGCTTTCGAAGGCGGCGAGTTATTTTAGCGTTCATAATATAAATATCCTCACTGGGACGGTCCGCCTCCAATGAGAGCTTCAAGAGCCGTGCCATGAAGTACACCATAAATCTTTTGTACAGGCAATCATTGAGTGGAGGAGTTACTAACTGGTAGGTGAGGGTCAGCTGCAGGACGACTCTCATCAACAGCCATACCGGTGAGCGCCTCCAGGGCAATGCGTTGCCGGGTTCATATCTGACTTCTTCACGTGTGTTCTTCCAAATGACGCGTCTACGGCGCATTTCGCCGAAGGGTCGCAAAGCAGCCATCAATAGCTGGGTTACAATGTGTGGCTTAGTTGTGTCACGATCCTCAGCCTGGACCTCGTTTGCCTTCACGATTGTGGGTTGCATCTCTGGTACAGACATTGTGCTCATATCTGCGATCAAGGCGGAAATAGAAACGAGGAGGCCCTTTTCGTCCAGCACATCACGCGGTAAAGATACCGTGGCGGCGGGAAAATCTCTTTGGAGGCGGCCATTGTTGGCGAAGACGGACTGATTTGCCGGAGAAAGTTCAAATGTTTCGAAAATGAGATCTTCCTCACTCGAGCGAATAATTATGCCGGCATTTTGGGCTCCAACGTATAGCGGAACCATAAAGTCTACAAGGCGTTTGTGTCAGCTAAAAGCAATGAACGCTGCCAGGGAAATCGACTCACCTTGACTTCTGAGTTTGTTGAGCGCTGCCATGAGATCACGCGCTGAAATCACCCAGCCCGCAGGGTTCAAGCTTCGGAACCTCGTGAGGGCCTGAGTTGCCAATCTAACAGAGGCCAAGTCCGCCTCTTGCCACCCAAAAGAGCCAAAGTCTCTCAAAGTATTCGTCAGGGTAAGGGTGAGCGAGGTTTCCCACTCGTTCAGCCTCTCGTCGTCGCTTCCCGGAAGCTTTGGAGGCAGGAAGACATGGTGAATAATGTTCTCCAACCAAGGAGCAGCCATTTCAACCAGCCGCCGTGATAAAGCCTACGACAGCAAACAGGCAGTGAGTGGAAGAGCTTGGACCGTGTCTCGGGAGAAACCAATCTAGTGCTCGAATGACGAGAAGAACGAGTTGAGGACAGTGATGAACCGAGGAGAAGGAAGGGGCAGAGAAAAGGGAAAGAAGTCAGGGCCAAAGGGACGTAGCCGAAAGACAAATCAACAAAAGAGTGAGATGTGAGGTGCAAAGATAGCAAGCTTAGTGCTACGCGTAAGTAAGGTAGGTGCAGGTACCTACCTACCTTAGGTAATGTGGGTGCAGCTTCAAAACAAAACACAAGGAAGAACCACGGCGCAAGTCACTGGAGATAGCATTATGCCTATACGCTCCAGCTACGGTCTATCTCGAGGCACTTCACTCGCTAGTCTACAGCTGTGTGCGACCTCCAGCGTGCACTGCCACTGCCTGCCCTGACCCTTTGCGCCTTCTCGAGCGGCGCGTTGTCAAGGTGGATGCCCCAGGCAGAAAGAAAACCAGCCAACCATCCAGCAGTCGCTTGTCGATGGCTACCTACTAGATGTGACTCTCTCTGTCATGCCGGGGCAGCACTCAAGAAGCGGACGGCCTTCTTCAAGCTCTCCACCACAGTGACCCCATCACGAGCTGCAGTCTTCGCATTCACGTTGACGTTTGCTTGAGTATCGAACCTGTGATCCCCGTCCTCCGACAATCCTACAAGTACCTCGGTGCCATCAGCACGAAGCTTCTCTGCCGCCTCCTGGCTGCACTCAACAGGGAACCGCCGAGTCGTTGACGCCATGCGGCAGCAGCATTCGAGCTCAGTCGGCCACATTAGCGAACGACAAGGAGGACAAACATTGATGCTCCGTGGTATCACTTCAGCTCCTTCTTCGACGATTCTTCGACCAACGCCGTCAACGCCAGTGGCGTAGTCTGCCAACACCCCTTCCAGATGAAGTGAAGACCAGACTCTGCCCCATGTCATCAGTGGTCGGAGGAGGCATAGCATGCAAATTGATTCTCTTTCTAGTTTCAAACTTACCTTATCCAGCACCATATAGACTAACAGCAGAGCGTTGGCTTCTTCTCAACTAGAGCCTTCGTCTACAACGCGAGATAGCCCCCCAGCGCTTGATCCCGAAACCGACACCGATCCGATAGGGCGACCCGAAAGACCGGAGAGCGATGACTGGGCCCACGTATAGGCGTATACAGCGTCATCCATCGACTCGTGAGCTGTGGATTCGGGGATGAGACGGTATTCTGGCGTGGCGAATATCCAACTACGTGAGACGCATATGTGCACCAGCCTATATGGCAAGAAGCTGTATCGGTCCCCAAGTACCTGAATCAAATGAATGAGTGATCGAGGAAGGGAAGCGCTCAACTTCGGGGGGCATACGAGAAATCCACCGTGGTAATAGATCACGACTGTGCATGGGGATCCATCAGTTTGTTCTGAGCAGACAACGGATAGAGGGCCATCGGGCGTGGACTTGAAGCTGACAGTCTTGCTGCGTAGCTGCCGAAACCATCGAGAGGGAAAGAGCCCATCATAGAAGAGAATTGTCTGAGTTTGCCATCGACATCTACCAGACATGCCCCAGATCTAGTGATCTTCTTACCACATCACAATGTGCCAAAATGCGAAATCTCCGAGCTCAACGCTCAATTAGGAAAATCGGGTCAATGCCATTTTCCATTTTGAGTTAAGGGTGAACAAGGTGGTGGAGGGTTTAGGTTAGTGAACCAGCTTGTCGTCAGCACCGCTGGGTTGGGTCGAGCGAATTTTGGCGGAGATAGGAAACTTGTAGGTCCGGAAACATCGAGGGCATGAATGTATTACTCATGCCGATCCTCCACCGCCAGCTCAAACCCTGGCGGGCGGGGGATAACTTTGACAAGGGTCGGAGAGTTCACATTATAAAGGATCCGAGAAGGAACTTTGGCATGTCAAATGTTTCCTGCATTCAGTCAAAGGAAGCACATATCGTGATTCGTACCTATCTCATAATCAACCATGCCGTCTCTCGCCCCCTTGGTCCCGTCCGTGCTGCTCCTCGGAGCCGCACATCTGGCCGGCGCAGTGCAAGTGCGACAGCTCTACCAGTTCCCCGAAGCGACCTTCATTGAGAACATCGCCGTTCGCCCCAACGGCCATCTGCTCCTCAACACCTTCGCCAACGCCAGCACCTACACGCTGGACCCCAGCGCCGAGAATCCCAAGGCTGAGTTGATCGCCCAGGTGCCCGGCATCACCGGTCTAACGGGGATTGCCGAGGTCGCCCACGATGTCTTCGCCGTTACTGGCGGTATCAGTGACGTTGCCAACTACGCCTGGGAGGCCGGGACCGCCCAGACCGCCATCATAAACTTCAGCAAGAAGTGCGAAAAGGATGGCAAGCCCACCGTGAAGACCGTAGCCAAGGGCGGCAACACGACCATGCTGAACGGCATGACTGCTCTGCCCAAGCATCCGCACATCGTGCTCCACGCTGGCTCAAAGGAAGGCAACGTCTTCCGCACCAACACGGCAACGGGCGCCTTCGACATCGCCTTCCAAGACGAGAAGCTGGGATTCTCCGCCGACGCACCCGTCCCTCTCGGCATCAATGGGCTGCATGTTCGTGGCGACTACCTGTACTTCACCAACTCGGCCCAGCTGTTCTTTGGAAGGGTCAAGATTACCGACAAGGGGGACCGGGCTGGCGATATCGAGGAGATTGCGCGTGTCGAGACCGTGCCGGGAGGCGCCGCTTACGACGACTTCTCTCTGGCCCGCGACGGGACGGCTTATGTTGGCCTGCACCCACACTTCCTGGTGAAAGTCGCCCCTGATGGAAAGCAAACCGTGCTTGTTGATGACTCTGGGGATATTGTGCTTGCGGGACCAACCTCCACTGCGCTCAGCAAGGATGAGAAGACGCTGTATGTTGTGACTGGAGGCACGAGCGAGGCCAGCGGGGGCAAGGGCCAGGTCGTGGCTGTCACGCTCTGATTGAACAATCCCAAAGTCAGAGCAAGCCATAGAGACGTAAGTAGATCGTTGCAGTGAGACTCATAGAATCATCAGTTGGTCAATAATCAAAATCGACTCCGGGAGCGTGCTAGACTCTTCCTACCCTTGGCAACCATGTGATTCGTTCTCGAGCCACTGCATTGAGAAATTATTCGTATTCTTGTTATTATTATCTCTCGTGTATGTATGCTCACTTCGCCTTAAATGCAGGAAAATACCGGACCACGCCTAAATCAAGTGTTGCAACGCTCACGGGTTTTACATAGTACTCATGGGCCCCGGCGCCGTCCGCGGCCGCTCGATCAGGCGGGCTGTCTTGGCCCGTGACTATAAACACAGTCGACTCAGTCCACTGCTTCTCCTTCTCCAGCTGGCGGATCATCTGGGTCGCCTCGATACCGTCGCACACCGGCATCTGGAGGTCCATGAAGACTAGTTCAATCGGGCTTCCCTTGCCCTCGGCAGCCTCGGCCTGGTGCTTGGAGAAGGTCTCGACCGCTTCTCTTCCGTCTTTTGCGCAGAGATAGGGGAGACCTCTTTTGGTGCAGTACATCTGCATGATGCGCAGGTTGATGGCGTTGTCGTCAACCAGCAGTGTCGTGGGTTTGGGGGCTCTCGTCGGGATCGGTACGCTTCCCAGGTCGGCCTCCCTTGTTTCTGCGATGGGTATCGGACTGGGCAGGGCCTCTGGTGCTACGGGTTTCGCTGGCTCCGGTTCGGGTGCCGCTGGTTCGGATGACTCTGTAATCGGAACTTCTGAGGGCTTCGGTTTTGCGGGGAGTTCTTTTTCGACGAGTCCTTCCTCCAACTGGGGCTGGTTAGGCGGCGGAGCGCTGATCTGGGGCGGGTCCTCCGGCAAAGTTCCGAGTTTTTCCAATCTTCTGTTGACTTCTTCGAGTGTTGAATGCATTTTCGACGTTGAAAATGGGCCTGTGAGAAATATTATGTCGTTGGAAGCTTGCTCAAGGCAAGATTCCTTCTCTGTGGTTGGGATTAAACAAACCCCAACCTTGCCAGGCGGAATCTGTGATTTGTCGCGGTGTTTCAAGTCGGCTAAATAATCAAGGAGAGTCACGCAGCAATCCTCTTTCTGGTTTGAGCGGGTAAATCCGTTCCGAACTAGAAAGTTGGAGAAACAGTTGTGCAGTGACAGGTCCTCGGAGGATGGCTCCTTGACATAAAATTGCAGAGGAAGGCTCTGCGGCTTGGGCGGTGGAGGTGATGTTTCCGTTTGCGAAAACTCGACCTTGCGAAATGTCGCTCGAAAATGCGAGCCACGGCCAATGGTGGATGATTCCAGAGTGATGGAGCCATGAAGAAGCGTCGCGAACTTGGAAGCCAGTGTCAAGCCTAAACCTGCACCGCCAGAGTGCGTATCGACCTTTTCGTAAGGCTCAAATATCCGTTGGTAGTCATCAGGACGGATCCCTCTACCATTATCTTCAATGTCGACAACGAGTTCCTTCGCATTGGGGTGCGCCGTTATTTTTACCTTTATCATTCCGTCCTGCGTGTTCTGGATGGCATTGATGACTAGCGGCAGCAGACAGTCTCGGAGAAGGCCGATGTCGATCTTGAAGGAAACATCATTCGTCGATTCGAAAAGAATTGACGACCTGTAGCGCGGATCTTCAACCAGCATCTTGTGTATCTCATCTCCCAGCTCCGTCTCAAGATCACAGACGGTATGCACTGAATAGCAACGATCAGCCATGGCAATGTCGGCCCATCTGTTGAGAGTAATCATGCTGTTCACTATCGAAATGAGATCTCTTCCGGCGATTTTGATGGTATCCAGGTACAAGGAGGGCTCAGCAGCCCGGACCTTTTCTTCAGCTTCGGACAGTGGATGCGTGTTTCCACTGGGGAGTTTGGGCTTCAATACCTCGGCCAGTAATTCGACGGACCCAAGGATTCCGTGGATTGGTGTTCGGAGTTGATGCGAAAACCCACGAAGAAACTTCTCCTTGGCAACCAAAGCCTCCTCCAATAACAATTTGTGCCAGAGTTGTGAGATCATGGCGGCGCACAGCTGGACAAACCACAGGTCAATATCATCAAAGATGAGTCGGAAGTCGCGAGATGAGATGACCAAAAAGGAAGGCCCAGATATACTCTCGCATGGCGAAGCGAGAATACGCACCACCTTGGTCGATGGAGGTTCACGTTGGTTCGATTTGGCGATAAAGTCGTCAATATATTCGATGTCCTCCCACAGGCCGCTCTCAAAGTCAGACAACGGGACAGACCCTTGTCCTTCAATGTCGATCTGAGCATCTCGGGAAGGCTGGAGGGTAATGGTGGCCTCGGGGTAGATAGTCTCGAGTATTTTGAAGACGGGCTCTTGGGAACTGGTTTCGTCGACCTCTCTCTGCGCGGCGGCAGCCAACTCCCACATTTGACGTCGATCTTTTTGGCGCCTTGCTCTCGCACACTGCACAATATCAGCGGAAACCCAGTCAGCAAGTCGGACGAGAGTTTGCTGCTGTATCTTTGTTAGAGGTTCCTGGGCAGTGCTTGACGCAACGCAAAGGGATCCAAGTCCGACACAGTCACCGTCGCCAGTTTGCAAACGCAGGGGGGCACCAGCATATGCCAGAAGCCCGCCAGACTCGATATAGGGCGATTTTTGAAACCTCCAGTCCTCTAGCATGTTCGGCAATAAAAAAATGCTCTGAGAAGATGGTCAGCACGATATAGAAACACAGACGGGAGAGGAGTGGGGTTGAAGCCATACGCCGGGTGGTTGCGTCACAGTGTGCGCACAGAGGGTTTCACCTCGTGGAAGGATGGAGATGGCGACGCCCACGGTGGCAATGCGGATGTAGAAATTGATATCGAGGATGCCAGCGATGGCGAACTCCCAGCCCGTCGACTCTTGGGCAAGCTGAACCTTCTCCTGCAGGCCAGCGCGGAATTCAGGCTCGTCGAGGATGCCCCGGGTGTAGTACCAGAGCATCGACAGC